AAGGAGAGGGTGGTTTGTGGTCTGACCGATGACGTGAGATTCAGAGCTGGACGTTTTTAGGTAAGAAGAAGGAAGAATGGTCTGCAAGGAGTAAAAAGGAGTAAGGAGCACACCTATTCCACGCCCAGGACCAGTGTGAGAGGAAACAGCTACCACTGAGAGAGCTTCTTGAAAGGGGAAGTCCTTCTGAGGGAAGCACGGTTAGGTAGAGCTAGAACATTTAGGGAAGAGGTTAAGAATATGGAGGATTTTGTGATGGCTGAATGAGTTCTAGACAGTGTGCAGGAAAAATGTTTCAAGAGTTGGAGCATGGTGCAAGGTGGGAATAAAAATCGGGTTGTGCATAGCATATAGAGATTGAGGGATGATTCAGAGGCCTGGATTTCTTCTCACAGAGACAGACATGATCTGAGTTAAAAGCCATGTTGAGATAAGGTCCAAGTTGCCCAAGGCACAGAAGGTTGGTACAGCTTGAAGAGCGAGGGGAGTAGGGATCTTTCCAGAGCATATCATGTATTTTGTGCCAGAGGCATGGAGACAGGAAAGGGGCAGTACTCCGACTAGATGGGTTTGCTTTTGTCAAGACTTTGACGATATTAAAACTGATTTCCCCATACCTTCCTGCTTCTCCTACTCCATCAGATTCATGTGCTTTTCTTTATCTTGGTTTATTTTTTCTGGGTTCCAAAAGGAGGCCCATGTTCCTTTTCTTGTTTCCGTAACTTACTCTGCCTGCTCCTTCCAAGACTTTGCTCTGCTTTCATTCCCTCCTAGTTCCTTCCTTTAGTTTACAGACATGTTCAAGTCTATCCCATTGCAGACCTACAGGCACCTCTTTGATTCTACTCCCCTGTCTCACAACTCGTAACCTTTCTCCTTCTCATTCAAACTTCAAAAGAGAAATCTATAGCACCATTGTCTCTTTCTCGCTTTTCATTTAGTCCTTAGTCAATTGCTCTTGCCTTTTTGTCCTGGTCTCTAGTCTTGTGTCTTTCAAAACCAGAATTATCTATCTAAAATTCTAATGGGTCTGTGTCATTTCCCAATCTGTAGTGTGTTAATGGTTCTCTATTGGCACCAGGCAGCACAAAGGGAAAGCTTGATCCACACCCCACTGCTGCTTTTTCTCCATGCTTTCTCTCAGCTGATTTTCTCAGCCTGGGACATCCTTGTCTTCCTCCTCACTGGGACTTAAATTTCAGGTGCTTGCCTGGCTGGTGTGGCTCAGTGGTTGAACATCGACCTATGCACCAGGAGGTCGCCAGTTTGATTCCTGATCAGGGCACATGCCTGGTTGTGGGCCCAATCCCCAGTTGGGACATGCAGTAGGTGGCCAGTTGAGGTCCTCTCTCATCAATGTTTCTATCTCTCTGTCCCTTTCCCTTCCTCTCTCTCTAAAAATCAATAAAGAAAAAAAAAATAAATTAGTTTCAGGTGCTTTTTTTCCAGAGCTTCCTAGGTTGGGTAGATAGGTACCCCTCGTTACTTTTCCCTTAGTATTCTGTGCATACCCATTTCTACTTGTGAGTGGCCCATTGACTGTTTCCTATTCATTGTTGTATCCCTAGCTCCTGATTGCCTGCCACATAGAAAATACTTCACAAATTTCTTTCTGAGTGAATAAAGAATGAATGAAAGGGAAAATATATCCTTTAGCAGACATTCACATCCTGATATCTAGAAAAGCATACTTCCTATTTTAAATCCATATTTAGCATTCTCATTAATGATAAATGTTAAAAGTTTCTTGCATGCTTGATGATTATGAATCAAACTGAACCTACTAACCCAGGGCTAAATGGATACAAGTCCATTTTGAAACAGACCAGAAGCTATGTTTGTGATGAACCCACCAAGGCAGAGATGCCCAACTTGCCACCTGTTTTATTGTCATCCCCTACAGCAAGGTCTTCCTGATACACTATAACTATTTTTATAGCTGTTTTCTTTGGCAACCATACACACGATCACAGGACAATAGGCAACCTATCCAATAAATGAGATAAATATCCTGGTGTATAGAGAAAAAGTCAAGATAAACTTTTGACAGGACTAAAAGTCTAATTTATTGCATGTCTCATAGGTCTCTTCTGGTGATTCTGAAGCCAAACCTCTGATCTTCACATTTGTCCCCACTGTCAGAAGACTACCAACCCACTCTGAGTTGGCAGACACCTCTAAATTCCTTGTTAAAATTCCTGAGGAACCAAGTGATAAGAATCCAGAAACTGTAAATAGGGTAGGATTATTTTTATTCCTTTTTTATATCAAGCAATTAACATTACATTATCCAAAACAATGACTTAAAATTTTGTGTGAATGTTTATTTCCTCTGCTTCAAGTGAGATGACTATAACATTTAAGGTTGACTAAAAATATAATTATGTAGCAGGAGCTTAAATGTTATCTAATCTCAGGTTCTCTCTAATGCATTATTCTCAACCTTCTAAATTGATCCCCGATTGTTAGCCTCCTGCCACCTCCCCTTCTCACAAATGCATCTTAAAATAATAATAATAATAAAAAATTAAGTTTAAATTTGTTTTGAAAGAAAATACAAGTTAAAACAGCAAGGTGCTATTATTGTATACGTAATAAACTGGCAATATTAAAAAAGTATAATACTCAATGTTGGGGCCATTGTGGAGATGCATGCTCACATTTTGCTGCTAGTTTTGTGAATACGTACAATTTTGGTGGAAAACCTTTATCCACTATCATAAAACTGTTCATAGCCTTTCAATAACCCAACTCTTGGAAATATATTCCAAAAAATAGGACAAAAGAAGAGAAATGTTATGTAGACAAATAATTAGTGAAAAATGAAAACAATATACCAGAAAAGTTAAGAATATGATAATACCTCATCTTGACAAAGTTATAATTATAGTGATTATGTAATTCCATGGAAAATGTTAACCTTATAATATTACATGACAAAAATAGGTTATAAAATTATATTTATACCCTGATTATACCTATCTAAAAGAAGACCCTGACTGAAAATGAAATCAAAACAAAATGAACAAAAACCTGAAAATGACTTGTGCTAGCATAATGACATTGTGGGTAAAAAAACCCCATTCTCTTTAAACTATGTTTTAATAATATCTTATTTTAAATGAAATGTGATTGGGGGGAACTTTGTGGTATTCTTGAGTCAACTGGAAGGGCATAAAATAATCTGATTTACTCTGTTTATTTGAAAACATATTATCTAGCAAGTAGTAATATATCTGGGATTCTGGGATTTTCAATGCTGTCTTATTTCAAAGACCACTGGGGCCAAATTATTTTAGAGAAATCTTGAATACTACATATGGCACTTCTGGGAAGTTTCTTTCTAATAGTACTCAACTACATATAATCTATTCATGAAGTCCTTTGTTACTAAATGCTATGATTGTATGAGACTGTAGATATATGAACCAATTTTGTTTGGATGATGATATTCATCGATGATTGAAATGATACACACATAACTACATTGTTAAAATAAAATTGAAGTCTTTTCTTTCTGGTTTTTTTTTAAATGGTCTAGTATTATAATCAAACGGGGTAAATGATCCCTCATTCTTTCTATATTTTATAACTACGTACTGAACACGTTATGTGCTAGGTGCTGTGGATTCTGACTAATAAAGTCAACTCATAACTTATTTGTCATTGGGAATGCAGACAATGCAAGAACTGAAAAGTATATAATAAATTCTTGGATAGTGATAAATGCTGTTCAAAATACAGCAAAGAAATATAGAATGATAGACTAAGAGGGAACGGAGTTATTTTAGAATATTAGTAATGTTTTTATATACTAGTTTAACTTTTGGTAAGGTTTTTACTTATTCTATTACTTTTCATAATAAGAAATTTGTCGTTGAATACTTCTATTTTTAATTTAAACTCCCTTCCAATTTGGGTTTTTTTGTTACTATATAGGATTGAGTTAATATGTAAAATGACTGTTATCAGAGAAATTCTAATCAGAGGTAATATGTGTCAACTATGTCATCATCAACTTAAAAGCGTGAAATGGGTATATAAAGTCAACACCTTAGCTTATTACCCCTAATTAATAGTTTGACTTCTAGTCTGTTTTCACACACACAAAACACATACATACACATTATTATACATTAAATTGATGACCATAGTTGAAATTATTTTAATTAGCATCTTTTGGATTTTGAAATAATTTTAAACAAAGAAAAGTTTAATAGAAAAATAGCAATCATAGTATGGTTATGAAAACCAAGAAAAACAATATTGGGCCTTTTAAACATAGTCTTAGCATACATATCTACTATCATTTTAGAAGTGTTTTGGTAGTGTTTTGGTAGTATGGTAAAGCTGTCTTACACCTGGCCTTATAAACCTTCTATATATTCATAGAAAATCAGATGGAAAAAGATATTGAAGTACAAATCCAAATTAAATAACAGTAAAAAGTATTTTGTGCTAAAAATATGTATTTTTTTTTGGGGGGGTGTGGCTTATTCACTAGTTCTTCCCAATTAGCCTAGATTTTTTCATCTGACTGTGCATTTTGTTCCAATTTTATGTTTTGTCTCAGACTTTTAGAGAGATTTATGTGATTTTAGAACCATTTAATGGGATTTCCTTTCTCCCACGGTTTATACAGGTTTTTCTTGACCATTAAGTAAATCTTTGAGCAGTCTCCCTTTGTTTCAAAAATGTCTTCATGGAAAACATTGCTTTCCTCCTCTCTTTTTACAAAGCCCTCTCATGATTTATTTGAAGGCTTGTTTGTTGATGTTGATTCTGACTCCTACATTGTTTGAGTTTGGACCAGGACAAACAGGTGGGCTAGTAAAAGTAAACCATTAACTTCAACCTGATCTCTCTTCAGCCAACCTGATTTTTAAATATGTTTTCAGAAAATTTTGTCCTTAAGCAGGTTAAACTTCTAAGTACACGCGCAAAAAAGAAGCATGTATCAAACCAATGTCAATGCTTTTATGTATTTGCATTTATTGCAGTCTAACTTCAATGAGTACTTGACCTTGAAGGCTGGAAGCCAACAGGAGAGAGACGGAGGGACATTGACTTACCCTTCAGAGGTCAGCGGGAAGATTTCACAAGTAAGAGAATTTAAAGCAAACGAACCTCGAGGAATGCAGCAAAGTGGCCTCTTCAAAGCTGAATATGTCTTTATTGTGGACTCTGAAGGGGAAGAGGAAGCTACAAGCAGAAAAAGTGAACCAAGCCCCTCAGTGGGCATGGGCACCGCAGCTCCTCGGCCCACATCTCTACCAATCTCCTCCAGTCTGGGCTCCGATGTGGTGCGTCCCAAAACACGGGCAACAACCCTCCAGGCCCCATCGCATCCTGAAATGCCTCATGGGATGGCTTCTCAGCAAAAGCATGGGCAGGTAGGATTTTCTTCTTATAAGAAAAACAACATTGTTTATATACCTTTGTTCTAGGCTGTCTGTAAAAAAATGTTACCTCTTCCTTTTGAACAATTCTTAGGAAGGTTGAAAATGGGAATTTCTTGGGAGAGAGTGCTTGGTGAGCTGGGTGTTTCAAGAGACACATCACAAACAGGAGAAGCATCTGGTGAGAAGACATCAGTTGGATTTTAGATATAAACACGTTGCTTTTAAAGTAGGAAAAAAGTGGTAAAAGGGTACAATAGGAAATAAAAGGGTGTAAGGAAAATAATTCCTCTCTGTGTTTCTTAAGGGAAATATCTGCTGTGGTCCTGGCGGCTTCCAGGGTGAGACAGGCCTCAGTGAAATGGAGAGATGGTCTCATTCCAAAACTTAGCAGCAAGGTTGAATGGTTTCTTTAAGGTGGCCAGCCTTTGGTACAATTGGCGAAGATTTATGTCTGTGATGGCAAGCAAGAAATGTCAAGGAAAGAAAGTCAGAAAGAGATTTTGAAGAGAAAAATAGGAAGATTTTGCCATTGATTGTCTATTTGTTGTAATGAAATGATAAGGTGACTATAATAAGGTGTAGGTAGAATGTCAGGAATGCAGAGGCTGGCTTTAGAGTAGATAGCGGATGGGGAGTTGCCCTTGACAGTGAGCAAGAGTCAATACCAAGATGTCCTGTTTAGGATCTACCAGACCAGGCATTTGCAAGCATCCCGACGTAGTAGGGAGAACATTTTCATTGGTGAGTTGACCTTTTGGTGCTACTAGACTGCAAAACTGCAGAGAGGCATCTTATTTTTGGTGCCATTCCATCTTTATTTCTGCAGACTTCACTGCCTTTATGATGTTGAATTTGTATCTTCTTCTGGCATCTAGTATACTCATGCTGCCTTTCAGTGATAGAAGACTCTCACTGGACTATCCATACCCAGCTCTACTGGGCTAAAACATTCGTTTCTTCTTGAAGTTTATTCTCAGCTAGGTATTAGAAATTTTATAATCACATAATTAAACATACTATTCTCAGTAAGTGGTGATAGGCTTAAACATTTTTTTCTTGCCTCAGGAAAGATGATGGAATAACCAAGTAGGAGATGTGGGGTTTCTATTGTCAGTGGAGGGTAGTTTGATGGGGACCATTTGAAGAACATGCTGACATGATGATACCAGATATAAATAAAGAAAAATATTCTCAACGAAGCAATTTTTAAAAAATTTACCCCTTTCCCCAATGGATATATGTCTTCTCAAGTTGGTAATTTATTTTGTTTTCATGTGACTAAATATGTAGAGGTCAAACTGGAGCCTAAACATATACTTTGGAATCTTTTTGCCAACATAGGTTAGTTAGGAGGTTATAGTTCATGTTATCAGAGCTCCTCCAAATGAAAAGGCCTTAGGTTACCTAATTCATTCGTAGAGGCTGAAAATGATGATTACTACTAATGGAGGATTACTGGATCCTAAAATGTTTGGGAATAGCCATTGTTCCTATTTCCATTTTCTTTAATAATTCATTTTAGTGATGAGCAGTAGGTCATCATAAAATAAAAATCAGATGAATTAAAAATAACATGACTTTTTCCCCACAAATTTAAACTAAAGAGAAGTGACCAGAACATGAAAGAAGCCATTCTGAGAAGTTTAATACAGTTTGTATAGAAGGTTAATATAAAAGGTCTAAAGAGTATCCTGTGATTAGATTACTTGATGCCAACAACATCAATTTTTCAATTAGAAATGTAGTTAAGTGATTTTCTGTTCAGCCTGGTAGAAATGAACCCATGTATAGAATTGTCTATAAATTAACCCTATTAATCAATCATAATAATTTATTAAACTATTCCTAAAAAAAAAGTCTTTAGTTCTCAGTTTGGACTTTAACCTTTTCATAACCCAACCTAAACGTCATTTTCTGATCACATCTTGTACTTCCTTTCTTCAGCTCTCCTAAATTATCAGCAAGGTTCACACTTTATACCTTTTCATCCCTGGGCCCTTGATTCTTCTGTACAAAATGCTTCTTTCTTCCCCAGACCCAAGGCTATTTTGGCCTAGGCTACTTGATACTCTTAAGTTCAGCTCAAGTAGCATCTTTTCCTAGAGAAATTCCCTTTGAAGATGGGTTAGTTTTTCTTTTTAATCTTTGTCATTTTTGTTATAGTTTTGTAGCCTGTATAGAAAACTTTCAATGCAATGCCTTTTGACTTGGTTACAATAATTGATTTTATCTTTCTTCCCTAGATTGAGAACAGCTTGAAGTCAGTCTGTCTCCTGTTTATTTCCGTATCCAAAGCACTTAGTGCAGTGTCTTGAACATAGGTGAAGTTCAATAAGTTTCTTTTCTTTTCCATGAAAAGAAAAATATTTAGAAGTTTACATCCTTGAAGTTCTTCCTCAGATACTGACTTCTTCATGAAGTCTGCTTTGGTTCTTTCAGTGCAAGCAACTCTCCTTCAATTTAATTCTGATAACTTTTTTTTATGAATATTTTTATTACAATTCTATTACAGCATGTATTATAACTATTTGGATTCTTGCCTTATCTTCCCTAGTAGACAGTAAAGTCTTTACAGATAAAGACCCTGTGAAATCCATTTCTATTAAACATTTTGTTCCCTATAGTGGTTACTGTATTATCTTGAACATAGTCAGTATAAATATTGGGTAGAGTATATTTTTGTTCTAAATGCTTTTGTTGCAGTGGTATGTAGAATTTAAAATTTAAAGTATAAGTCAAAAGTAAAAATGCTATGTAAGCAGTTAAATTAAAATCCTCATAAATAAAATTCAGAAAAAAAAGTAATGTTTTCGAATGTTGGTGTAAAGGTGTAAGAATTTTCTTACCCAGGGATAGTATTAGAGTTCAATGAGAGATGAATATACACATACAAACACAGAGTGATCTGTCCGAGAGACATATGATACAATCTGGAGTTAAGGTAATGATTGTGGGAATAAAAAGACACACTTATGGGGTAGAGTTAACTGGATTATAATTGATAATATATGAGAAAAACCAACAATGCATGAAACTTATAACCAAGGAAATTAGATGAATGTCGGACTAGTTGGGGAAAGAATAACAGGTCTTGGGAAAGGAATGGAAGAGGTAAGATATCTCAGAGGACTTTGAGATGCCTTGGTAGCATAGCATGACGATATCTAAAAGAAAGGTGGGAGTATGAATCTGGAACACAGTAGAGAGACGGGAGACTGGAGGTATTTTCTGCATAAATTAAAGCAATGAGAATGGAGATATTTTCTCATGGAAAGAATGCAGGACAAGAAGACATAAGATACAAGCCAGGAAACAGTAAAACGTAAAGGGCCTGTCAAAGAAGAGAAGCCACTGAAAGAGACTGAGAAGGGACCAAAGAAGCTGGAGAGAGGGGTTCATGCAATGAAAGCTAAGCATCTTTCAACAAAAAGAGTAGTCTACGAACAAGGTCAAATAACTAAATATGTAATATTTAATTAAATTAATTGATTTTTCAAAAGGTAGTTCAGTCATATCAATTTGGGAATGCAAAATAATAACTGATGATGTTTGTGATAATAATAATAATATAATAATAAATAATAACTTTCTGGAAGTATGACATAGTTTGAGTACTGACCGAGGGTTATCAAACATGAAGCACACTAGTTCTCCTATTTTTATGCTGAGAGGTCTTGTGGAGAACAAAACTTTCCTTTACAACATTGTACTTTCATATTTTCTAGCTGCCTTCCCAGGTTTTCGTATTGTACATTAGCAACTAATTCTGCCAAGTGGGACAGCCAGGTTAATATATGATGCTGCTTGACTAGGGAAGAAGGTCACGTTGGGAGATTCAAGAGGCCCAGATGAAAGCCAAGGGAAGGATCAAAGGCATTTTGTGGACATAGCTGGATATGAAACACTAGGAGACCCTGTGGGGAGTGTAAGGCAGGAAGGGAACCTCTCTCCTCAGTGAGTATTAGCAGAACCAGAAGATGTGTAGGGATGAGGCCAGTCATGTGGGGTCTGACCTGGTCACAGTCTCAATTTGGAATGTGGGAGTCCTTTCACTCTCCCAGGTCAGCCCCTAGAGCCTTGTCCCCATTACCTACTTGGAGCCCCATCTCCTCTGTGTTCGTGCCTGCTCTGGGAGAGGTGGGATGACGTTCCCTAACATCTGACCAGTTCAGCTTTGGAACAGGTACCTGGTGCCTCTTATTAAAATATTATATTATTTATTAAAATAATATAAAATTTAATATAATATAAAATAATATAAATGTAATGCAAGAAAAATAAAATATGAAACAAAGTTCAATAAAACAAGCCCTCAACCCTGGCTGGTTTGGCTTAACGGTTAGAGCGTTAGCCCATGGACCAAAGGGTCATAGGTTCAATTCCCAGTCAAGGGCACGTGCCTGGGTTGCAGGTTCAATCCCTGGCCCCATCTCTCTCACATCGATGTTTCTCTCTCTCTCTCCCTCCCTTCCACTCTATCTAAAAGAATCAATAGACAAATATCCTCTAGTAAGGATAAACAAACAAAAACATTTTTTAAAATAAATAAAACAGGCCCTCAAAGCTTTTTAAATCTGGAAGTTAGGAGGTTATTTGGTGACTTTAAGGAGAACAGTGGGAGTGGGGTGATAGGGGCACAAATAAAATTGAGAAGTGAATCGGTGATGAGGAAAGGAAAGCCATGCTTTGGGGGGGTCACCTGGGAAAACAAAAATGAGACGGGCAACTTCCTGGCCATGTTCTTCTGAGTAACCACTTGTAATCATAAACCTTAGTTTCCTCATTTGTAAAATGGGTGATGATATCAACCTTTCTTATGAAGATCAAATGAGATTACATATTTTATATATATAATGAGATTGTATATACTTACTTATTTATATTTATACATAAACTGTTCATAACAGTTCCTGGCCCATGATAAGTTCTCAATAACTGATTTACTATATTTATGAAGTCTAAGAAGGCAGCATGTTTTGGGGTACAGGGTA